GCACCCAACACCGCCCAAGAATCTGTCCGTAAAAACCTGCAGACTCAGAGTGGGCTGATACGGTTTGATATCTTCAACATTTTTTGCATTGCGGTGGCTGAATGCCCTTTACAAGTCTCTGAAGCTAGGGACCTCGAACCACGACATATTATCTTATAGCTTAAGCTTTAACCGAATTTTAAGTATTCTACGTAGATCGTATGAACTTGTTTTTACACTGCAGGTGCTATACGTAATGCTTTTGCAGCCGAAAGAGCCGTAGAGCTTTGGGGAGCAGGACATGCTCGCCCTGATTTTTGTGGCTTTGTTGAACAAAAAGAACGGATTCGTGGTGATTTAGGCAAGCCCCGGAGGAAAGATTCGGCAAGTAAGTGCTGAGGTCTTGGCATCTGTATACTCTTGGACACGCTTGCGTTTTTGTGATAAGACGCATGATGGAGACCGCCTTCCGACAACGACCCCGACTCCCACTCCCATGATCATAATGTGTAAGAAGAGCATGGTGCTAGCGAGGACGAAACGACTCCTGCCCTCCTCCTGCTGTTGCCTTCTTAGGGGCCCGTAGCGTAACCGGAGAAGTCATCAATACCAAGGTCTTCATACCCTGGGCGCTTCTACCCTAAACCCTGAAGCCTCGATCCTGCAACCCAGACGGCGCTCATGTACCGCCCTTCAGCACCTTCCCCCAAACCCTAAACCCTAAACCGTAGATCCTGCAACCCAGAAGGCGCTCATTTTATTCCCTTCGGCACCTTCGCCAAGCTCTTTGCCGACCTGAACCTAAGCCCAAAGCCCTTCTCGCAGCCTGCTTGTAATTATAGGCCCCTAAGTAGGTCCTTTTTGAGGATTACCTTATAGGATTCTAAATATAAACCATAAAAGGGAACTACTTAGGGGCCTATGGGTAAACTCTGAGCCCTTACTCTGTGTATGGAAAGCATTCCCGCTTCACTCAAGCCATAACTATGCTACCACATTCCCCCCTCCAAAAAACTATTCATTAAAGCCATATAACTGTACTACAAGATGCTCACGCTCGACAAAAAAACAAGTTCTAACCATTGAAGCCACATTAATACCATCATATACACCCAAAAAAACATCTTCTAATCGATAAAGCATACATGTACCATAATATCCCCCCAAAAAAAACATCTTCTAATCATTAAAGCCCCTAGGACTAAAATCCCAAGTCGGGGTCCCCACCTCCGGCCGCTCGAGGCTCTTGGCAAGAGCCTCACTGCCGGCCAGCGCCTCCCTGACAGAGAGGTCGGGGTTCATGTAGGGGCCTTGATAACTAGAATAGGCTTTTGGGTACTAACTATAATAAGGAACCTCCTATTTGGGCCCTTAATAACTAGAATAGGGTTTTGGTACTAACTATAGTAAGGAGCCCCTAAAAATAGTATTGGTAATTCTTTGGGCCCTTATATTACCTAGGGTGTAGGGTGCAGGGGGCAGGGTTTAGGGTAAGGGGTACAGGGTTTAGGGGAGTTTGGGACTGTTGGACTGTTGGGGGTCAGGGTTTTGGTGGATCCGTCAGGGTTCTATAACACCTCTTTACTAGATGTTGCTTAAAGGTTTGGGAGCTGCTGGTTTCAGGGCTTTTTGGGGGGGATCCACCGCTTTTTTGGGGGCTTTGGGGTAACTTGAAAGATTGGAGGGTTCAAGGCCAGATGCAGTATCTTTTTTTTCGGGTACAGGTGCCCCTAAACCCTAGGCCATAGAAGTGGTGTCCAAACTGCAAAGGATCCCAAAGGTACTCTTAACAGAGGGTTTAAGGTGGTGAGCAGAGTCCAAAAAACCCAGCCGCCTGGACCAGGACGATGCCGATGGCGTTGCGAGCATCACCGCCCGCCGGAGAAGGTTTGGGGGCTATCGATTTCGACTGGCTATACACCCTGTGCCCTAAACCCCAAACTCCACGCAAAGCCTTTGAGGGCTTGAGGCTCGGGTGGTTCGAAGTGTTGTAGGGCTCCAAAAGCAGAATGCCTTCTGCAGCGGAAGGCTTTACCATCCTTGAAGGGGTCTTTTTTTTGTTGAGGTGGTGCTGGTGGAGAAGCCCCAAAACTGTCGTAAACTCGGTCCTGTCCTAAGCCCCAAACTGTCGTAAAATCGGCCCTAAGCCCCAAAAACTGTCCTAAACTCGGCCCTATAACAAGGCCTTTGTGTGATTACGAGCCCCGATTGCCTTTTTAAGTGCTGCGGGATCCCTGGAAGCCCATCCCTCGGCGGTTGCAGGTCTGGATCCCTTGAATAAAAAAAACAGCTGCCGGTCGGGTTCGGACATCTTTGCAAGGCTTAGGGTTCAGGGTTTAGGGTTCAGGGTTTAGGGTTTAGGGTGTAGGGGTTCAGGGTTTAGGGTTTAGGGGTTCAGGGGTTTAGGGGTTTAAGGTTTAGGCTGCCCGAACTGAAGTTTGCATGCCTGCTCTACCCATAGGCCCCAATTGTAGTTCGTTTTTGGGAGTACCTTATAGGGTTCTGCATATAAGGAACTACTTAGGGGCGTATGGGTAAGTGCATCCCGGTGTCGATACTGTTTCATCCATTTTGCAGGTCGAGGCTCTAGACCCTGTATCCTTAAGCCCCCTATAGACTCTGAAAGCCAAACCCTACAGCAAAGCAGTGCAGGAGCCTCAATGATTAAACTTTTCTTGGGAACGCTCTAGTCTATTTCTGCAGGGATGTAGCTACGAAATACTCAAACCCCTGTAATACAGTTGACGCTAGAAATCCTGCATTACCTTAAGGACCCTAAACTATGGGAATTATGGTTTTCAGGATTTATATCATCAACAGTATCACACTGTCTTCATTCTGTGGTGCTTCACGAGGTTCTTTTGGGACCTTCCTGCTTCAACCCCTGCAACCTTGGCACGGCGCTACCTGGCGTTGAAGTTTGGGTCCTGTGCTTCAGGGATTTCCCTGTTTTCCTTCCGCTGAAGCATGGATAGGAGATTGATTATCGAAAAGGGGGCTTTGGGGGTGTAAGCATTATTAAAAAAGAAAGGTGCTACGGAATGGATTCGGTAAGTATTTCGGCCCCTGTTTTAGGCACCGAGCTGTCTGGGGGGACTTCTTTTGGAGGATCCTGTGGCCTTTCGTGCAAACTTTAGAGATGTAGGGTTTAGGGTGTAGGGTTTAGGGTTTAGGGGTTTAGGGTTTAGGGTTTAGGGTTGTGCGGATTTGGGTCTTCTCCTGCTCTTCTGCAGCAGCTGCGGATCATTTTCCCTGCAAGACGTCTGTCAGCAGCTGTTGATGAAATCGCAAGCTTTGCCGCAGCTTGTATGCCGTCTCCTGGCCCGCGAGCTGAGGTACTTTCACCTACGACCTAAGGCCATCGCAGTTCGCAGTGAAGCCTTCAAGCACCATGAACCTGTAGCGAAGAACCCTTAATTCGAGACCTATACACCTGCCTGCCAATTTCCAAGAAATTCAGAGGCCCCATTCTCCACTGGCCCCCAACATTAAGCCAAGCTCGTGTACACGCTGAATCCTGAAAGCACTGAAGGTATGCCGGGTCTGATTCCGCAAGCGGTGGCTATCCGCATGAGGGCCAACAGAAAGTTCAAAACGCTTCTTCGGTTTCTGCCTCTACTGCACCTCCAATAGGAGCTACGGTTAGCGGGACCCTTGGGGATATAGACCCTCTCAATAAGGTCCCTTTTAAGAGAGCCATAAGTAGGGCCCAGAAGGGTCCCCTTTAAGGGGTCTCCCTAAGATCCAAGCGCATAGCTCAGCCCGCAGAGCCTCTTCCCTCTAGAGCACAACGCTTGCGCCGAGGATCCCAGATCCTAAACACCTTCATTGAAGGTGCTTAGGGTTTAGGTGTTTAGGGTTTAGGTGTTTGGTGTTTAGGGTTTAGGGGTTTAGGGGTTTAGGGTTTAGGAGACAGGAGAAAATCGTCAATGCTACAGCTCGACCACACGAACCCACACATGCTAGACATGCAAGAAAGACATGACACAGCATCTGGCCAGCAACACACATTGCTGCACCTGCAAATGCACAGGAAACCCTTCAAGTCCTGCAACCACCACTTGACCCTAAAGCCCAAACCCTAAACCCCCACACCCCTAAACCCAATAAACCGTAAACTCTAAGCAGAATAAACCCTAAGCCCAATAAACCCTAAACCCTAAGCCCAATAAACCCTAAGCCCAAGAAACCCTAAACCCAAGAAACCCTGAACCCTAAGCCCAATAAACCTTAAACCCTAAGCCCAATCAACCCTCAACCCTCCTGCCTGGCGGAGCCGCGCGCAAAGCGCCCCCGGGTCCAAGACTTTGAGCAGAGTGTTCAAGTCCGCCAAGTTGCCTCGGATGTTTTGAGCTTTGAGGTTTGGATGTGGTGGCTGGGTTTAGGGTTTAGGGTTGAGCATCTTAGGATTTGGGGTTTCAGGGCTTGGGGAGCTTGGAGGCAGAGTGTCCGGATCAGTGCTTGGTGTTCGGCATTTCTTCTTGTCGAGTCTTCTTGCTTACAAAACCAGGGAAGTTGCAGATTGGCTTGCCGATGCACCCTAAACCCTAAGACCTAAACCCTTACGTAACCCTAAACCTAAAACCTAAACTTATAAACCCTAAAACCTAAACCCTTAACCCTAAAGGCCCTAAAACCTAAACCCAAAAGCCTAAAGCGTGGGGTTTAGCAGTTTGGTGCTTTCGGGTCCCAAGCTGTGTGGGCTTTCAGGCCCGAGACAGAGGGTTTTGCCGACGCATCAACAAGTAAATCGTCATGTGGGTAGTTCTCTAAATTAGGGTCCCTTTTAGGGTCCTTTTAGGGTTCCTTAAAGGGATCTCTCAGGGTTTCTACAAGGGTACTATGTGGGTAGTTCTCTAAATTAAGGTCCCTTTTAGGGTCCTCTTTCTAAGGGTGACGAACTTTTTTGGGGACCCAAAAAAGGAGCCCAATTTAGAGAGCTACCCATGTCAGTGCTCAGCGCCTTAGGCACTGTTCAGCTTTGCCTGTGCAAAGCACGGCTGGCACGACTCTTGAGAGACGTTGTATTCCAGCAGCCTCTTGGCGAAGAGCTCCTGACTGGGCGGACGGATCTTTGTATAACCCTGGGTCTAGGGTAGAAGGTGTTTCGGGTTTAGGGTTTCGGATTGTAAGGTTTGGGCTAAGGTATCTTTTAAAACCGCAAAGAACGTCCGGAATCGCTGTTGGTGCGTAGGACACCTGGATCTAACTCTCTGAACCATGAAACTACCATCTTGTCCCTCAGAGATGCTCGAGCTTAGCCGGCTTTGCTCCTTGGCCCCGTTGTAGAGGAGTCGGTCAACCGGGTCATCATAGCCGTCAAGCAGAGAGGTGTTGTACTCGTGGTTCGTCGTATCTCCGGAAAATGTAGGCCTGCTATCCATGAAATCCGAGGGGAGGCAGTCACCTCCGAACATACGGTGGAGGAGGCAGATGGAGAGGTCCCATTCCTCTTGACCGATGAACTTGGGATGTGAAGCATAAGACATACTCTACTTCCTTATGGCCTACCGCCAGCTACATTCTTCAAAAAGGCTATAAGAACCAAAACAACTCTCCTCCACCAGCCCGACAAAGGCGAATCCTTCACGAATCCTGGCCACTGCTTGTTCCGCATCCGTTTCGTTCAAGTCTCCGCACCGCGGGGGAGGAGGATCAATCATCCCATCTCGCATGATCTGGCAGGTCAAAGCGTGTGCCTCTGAATGTGCGTAGGTAACGATGTCTTTGAAATCCTTTCCATGTGACCATTCTTGGTCGGCGTAAGCCGAAAAAATGCGCTGGATCGGATCGCGCATCATGGTCACAAGATGACCTCTCAAGCGCTCAAGGAACTGCATCCATGCACAACCCTAAACCCTAAACCGCAACACACACACACACAAACATAAATAAATGGACACACACAAGTGCAGATGCAGAAGCGGCAAGACGAATTGATATATCGGATACGCTCACATGCCGCACAAATATGTATATCTACGTTCGCGCATGTGTGTGTGTGTGTGTGAGCGTGTGTGCGTGTGTGTGTG